AAACAGAAATGGAGCAGAGTAAGTCAACATCAGTTACACAAAAAGAGGCCCTTCAGTATATGCCAAGAGGATGAACCATAATTTGCTATGGGCCAGGCTCCTAGGCAAGTTTGCTGCCCTGGCAATGCAAGTGACAGCTTCTTGCAATGAGATGTGACAAATAACGAGATAAATTCTAAAGCTGTGCCAACTAACTCTGTGCTCCTAAGAGTCCTAGGAGCCTTTAGCCCAGCCAATAAGGCAAGTTCTTCACTCTTTGTGCACCCAGAGGTCTCATGTGAAATGCAGAGCTTTGAATGTGAGAGCAGCTCAGTACTAGATTTTAGGTATTGTTTTGAGAATCTCAAGCATATGTATTTTTCTTTTTCTTTTCATCGTGACCTAAATGCAAGTCACATGTCCCGTCGCCCTCCTCATCCCTCCAAGACAGATGACAGATCTAGTTGAGCGTGGATATTCTGTGAAAAATCAGCTTTCCTGGTTTATCTTAGTCACCAAAAGTTGAACATAGGACTTACAGTCATCGTAACTTTTAAGCATAGAGTTTCTTCAGCAGTGGAGGAACTAACTTCTTCATACTTCTTGGGCTGTATTGTCAATTTCAGAAAGTGTTGCTGATAAGAAATATTTACATAACAGGTAATTTAAAGATTATTTTTATAACAATAGTGACATTAACAGTAACACTTAGATTGAGGGCTAATGGAATCTTTTGCAGTTCTGTGAAAAAGACAACTTTCTGAGGAAAAAAAAAGTTGCAAAATCCATGTTTATTTTTGTTATCAGGTTCAAAAGGACATCAATAAGAATATCAGTGCCCGAAGTCCTTTTGTCCCCTTCAAAGAATATGGATTGAATGTTGAAAGTTTTGTAACAACAGTCCTTTTGCCTGTGACAGTTTTGGTGCAGTGATCTGGAAAACACTGGTAGAAGCATGTGAAAGAAATGGGAGTAGTTTTGTATAAAACAGTACATTTTAGTCTTGTAGAAGCAAATAAGCAATAATCGTCTTTTGGGAAGCTGGGCAGCTCAGAGACATGGATTACATAAAAATCAAAGTTCAATGACAGTCTTTATAAAATTACATCAAGTTTGTAAGTTAAATACACAACAGCAAAAATGCAAAGCAGAAGCTAAAATTCTACTTATCCCCCATGGAATTTACTATGGATCCTTTCCCTCACACATGCCTAAATACTGAAGAACTTATCATAAATTTTGCTTTTGCATGAAAATATTTTGCTTTCATGGACTTGATTTGTTAAGTGACATAATGTGGGGTTGGTTTTTTTAGCTTGTTTGTTTGGTTATGGTTTTGTTTTTAAATTAAGAAATCCCCATTCTCTATCTGGTTTTGTTTCTCACATTTTCAAAGCCCAAGATGCTTTCAGAAACAGAACTTAGATCTGGAAAATTATGGATGAAATACAGGCTGTCCTGAACTGTAAGACCTCCTCAGGGAGGAACCAAATGATAAATCAGTAATAATTGAAACTAGAATCACATTTTCATCCCAGAGGATCTCTAACTCATTTTCACCTGGATTGAGTCGAACTTTGATTTCAGCACTTTTCAGAAGTCTTTTAAAAGTGGCTTCTGCCTGCAGAGACAGATATTTTAGCATTTTTACAAGTTCTCATCATTAGTCTCCCAGCACACTGCACACTCATTTCCAGAAGACAAAAATAAACAGAAGGTCATGAATTCCCAGCACCTTAGTAGGCAGAGGGGTAATCCACCATGGCGTATTTTTTTCAAGCAATGATCTAATTATTTAGAATTCTGTACAAGAGTTTTAGTAGACTTCAAATAAAGCTGTGATATGTTTAATATTCTAAGACTGGATATTAACTGGAATAATAATTGTATTTACTTATGCACCTTAGTAAGTGGCAGTTACTTATACTGTTTCCACCACTTGTCAGGAAAACAGAAAAGTTTATTTTGAGTTGAACTTAACTCTGCACACTACTGCATATTTTAGAAAACTGTGACTGCCTTGTCTTGTGAACTAAGGCAGTCAGAGCATTTAGTACACAGGAGATGATATTTATACTACTTTTCTGCTAATCTGTTTTCAACACACATGTATCTTCAAACATGCATGGCTTACACTAAAGGATACAGTTGTGGGGGAAAAACCTTTTTAAAATAAAATAAAGGCTTCAGATAAGGTGGTTTTTTTTGCAATTGCATCATGTTTCACAGTTTGTTCTTTGCTAGATCTATGCCTAGAAATATACGTGTTTTTCAAGAATGTCTACAGCTACAAGGATAATTGCTGCACACATCTCTTGACATTACTTCAGAATTTGTTGTTGAGTGTGAATTTCAGGAGCATCACGTTTTGCAGAAAAGAAAAAAAATCCTTGGAGGGAAAATTCATCAGTTCAGGAATCTGCTATACTGGCATTTGTAAGCAAAGCTTCAGTTAATAGCCTGCAGTTGGGAGAGTTAGCAATCCCTTCTTTGCCCTCTTAGCTATCAGTATGAGCTGTGATGAGTTTAGTTAACTAAGTATGTTCCACAGATACTCATTAGAAACATTCATTCAGGAAACAGCTAAAATAAGAATTTAAGGTGCTTCTTGTTCTGATTAAGTTCATTTGTACCCCCTGCACCTCTAGTGTATGATTTCTAGTAGGACTATATTCAAAATGAATACCAGAGTGTTCACTGCTGCAGTGCAAAAATCCTTTGCCAAATGCTTATCCCTTCACATTAAACATGCTATGGACAGAGTGGAAAAATGGTTAGCATTGCTTTTCAACACCACAAGAAATAGGCATCACCAGACACAACCCATTAGGTGTTTAAATCTCATGATAGTTCAGTGTTAATGCCTATAACTAGTGTGTTACAGAATACACATAATTAAATATTTTAGCTTGCTTGGCCTCCACAGTTTTCTCCCCGTTAGGGAAAAGGACAATGTTGTTTCAGCTCGGAAACAGGTTGCTATCACCACCCAGAGGCTGGCTCTATGCAATTGTTATGGGTCCCTTCTTAACTAGATGGGCAGCAAAGTGTTGTTGATCCAAAGAAGGTAGCTTGACAAGCAATTAGTAGGAAGGGTTACTCCTCGGGAATGAACATAATTTTATCTCTAACAATTTGATTTGGGGGAGTGGGCTTCACCAATTGGGCTGAGGCAACTGATACCTCTTATTAAGTCTGGCAGTTGCATGCCTCAGGTAGACAGTCATTGCATTGCATTCAGCCACATACTTGGATTGTGAACACCAGTCTAAGGCTGTATGTGATCATTTCTGAGCAGGCACACACTAAAAAATTAATTGTGATTCCATAACAATTTTCAGTTAGATTTGTTCTTTTAAGTCAAAATTAGCCTTGCCATCATAAAGGTAGAAAATAAAAAATACAGTTCTAGGACTATTTTTTAAATGCTGAGATCACCTATGTGTGACCTGACTGGGAATTTGGGTTCTTCAGGGATGTTTGTACAGTGCATTCAATACTACTGAGCATCCAGCAGTGACATCTGATTTCAGGGTCATCATGGCGTCACAGTGTTCACAGTCTCTGCAAGCTTCTCTTTATTTTTCTTTATTTATTTTAAAACTTTTACTGGCGCACTCTTTTGACAGCAAAAGCAGTGTTATTAAAAGTAATCATAAAATTATTACATTTGAGAACAAGTTTGGGTTTTACTGTTTTTTCTCTTTTTTTTTCTTTTTTAAAGAAAAGTATTTTTTGTTTTCTTGCTTTGTTGGCATGCTGTAGCCTTTAGCTTGCAGTAGGGAACTTTTCATAATATGTCTACTTAGTCCTTCAGATATTTTAGGTTTTGAGGGTATTAACTTCTTTTTTAGAAGTAAGTATCTGATTCTTAACTTGAACATTTTTGGAAATTCCATTAGGCTACTCAGGGCTGTACGTTATTGAGACACTGATGGGGAGGAGAGTGAGATGAATGGCTGTGCAGCACGGGACAGGTAGTTCATACAGCACTGAGCAATGCAAGGGGAAACCCTTTGTGAGCTAATTATATAGTTCTTGGAAACAGAAGCAGTAACTAGCCTTTATGCTGAGAGACTACTAGGGATTTTGAAGATGACCTAAAACTTGTGATAGGCCAAATCTGCCACACCTCAGGTATTTTGTGCCAGGATATAAACTGATTACATGTAATAAACCTACTGTACTGGGGAAACAGCCTAGTTCTTCTCATCCCCTTATTCCTTTACCTGTAATGTGATACATTGTTATGTTTCTATTGCACTAATTCAACAGCAAACAGGAAACAGATGCCTAAGTTAATCATGAATATAAACCACATCAGAGAGTTCCTCTCGCTATACGACATTTTTATAATGTGATTGCAAGAAGAATTTCCTGAGAGACCTGTAATTGATAGACCTATTAAAGCACTAAAATAATTTCATAAGGAACAAAATAACATTTGAAGATGGTGTATGTCTTAGCTGACTTGTGCTTTGTAAGATTCTGAAACATTACCACCGAAACTCAGGAAGGGTTTTTGAACATACGCCAAAATGAGCAAAATAAAAGATCCACTACAGGTGATAGAGGTCTTCCAGAAAACAGAATAAACTCTTCCCCACCCCCCCCTTGGCACAAACAGTATGCCTCATTTTATCACTAGGAAGTTTCTCAAAGCAAGAATGTCTTTCAAAATAAATACTTGAGGCGTACTCTGGCTACGTGTCACGCACACCTGTAAGTCACAAATACTCCCAGGTGTCGTCGATCTGTCTTTTTTCGGCTTCTCTCCCGCCCTCGGTCGCAGTTAAGCGCTGTCGATCCGGACGTCCCGACATGGCGCCCGCCCGCCCCAGCCCGTCCGCGGCTCCTGCTGAGCCGGCACTGCCGCCCCGCTCCACCCGCATCCCAAGGGCAGCGCCGGGGCGCGGGCGGGGCAGAGCGGTGCGGTGCGGCCCGGCCCGCCGCGGGGGCAGTCCCGCCCTGCCCCGCGGGCAGTCCCGCCCTGCCCCGCCAGCCGCGGAGAGCCGCCGCCGCTCCGTCCTGTGCCGTCCGAGGGGATTTTGGAGCCTTAGCGAAGCCAGTACGGCCCCTCCTCCTTAAAGGCCGCGTGAAATGGGTTTCCCGGGCAGGCTGGCGGTGCTGCCAAAACTCGTGGCGGCGGGCCGGGCCGGCGGTGCCTGGCGGAGGCGGGACCGGCCCTGCGCGGGGGTCCCGCTCCCCGGCCGCGCCGCCGCTGCCCTCCGCCCGCCACCCGGCGGCCGCGCCGCCTCCTCGAGGGCCCTGGGCGATTACGAGGAAGTTTTCCGGTCTTCCCTGGCGGAGCCCGAGAAAGTCTGGGGAGCAGCCGCTGAACAGATCCAGTGGTACAAGCCCTGGGTCCGGACTCTAGAGAGAGGCAGCGCGGGGAGCGCCTCCTGGTGAGTACCCGAGTGTTCCTGGGGCGATGCGGGGCCCGGGGCCGGGGCGGCGAAGCTCGGCTGTAACGGGGAGGGAGGGAAGGCTGCCCGCCGAGGGTCTGCGGGTGTGCTGAGCTGGGGGTTCGGTGGTAACGGCAGAACTACCCCAGCACCTGTCTGGGATGGGCGGTGTGTCATCGCTGATGGGGGAGACGGCTGCAGAGTTTGAAGGAGTTGAATGATTACACTTGGTCAAGCTTAATGATTAAAAGCCGCATGAATGGATATGTTGGGGTGAGGGGTGGGTGCACTGTGGCAGGCGTGACACGTGTGTATGGGTCCGTGTGTGGCTGAATGATTTGGAGGAGTGTGCCTGATGCTCCCCTATCCAACCCTTTTTGGGCCTGGACTAGGACCAGGCTTCTGTGAGCATGAGAAACCCAGCACCAGGTGGCAGGGGAGGCAGGTGTATGAAAATGCAGGCACTATGGCTTTTAGGGTTCTTTAATCTTAGATACTATCTAAGTCATAGGCCATAATTTAGATGTTGTGGTTAAGGTAATGTTTGTCAAAAGCATGGGTATTGCAATATATATCTCCATGCAGTGAATGGCGAACTGTCCTAAGCAGAATACAATATCCATCTTGTAAATTACTGGATATGATTTTCAATACTTTCGCAAAAGTAATTTACTGTTAAAATTTTGTGTTCACCACCATTGCTTCTTTTTCAGCACGCTTGCATCATGGTCTTTGATTTTTCTCAAAAAAAGCGGATATTGGATATAAAAGGCAATGTAGGGTGAGGATCATCTTTAGTACACTGATGTTCTTTGCCCTTTTTTATATTTTTCTGGTTTGTTTTTAATTAAAAATACTAATAATTCTAAAATTATAATTAACAATATTAATTTTCAAAGTTGTGCAAATTAAAAGATACAGATTCAGTAGAATGGAGCACCTCAAGTAGTGAAAATTGTTTATATGTCTTAAGCTGAATTTTAGGCAACACCGAGCCAGAATGGGCTGTGTAACAGTCAGAAGTCCTAAAATGAATAGATAGGGTTCACTGACTTTGGTTTCTAGGTCGTGGCACTATTCAGAAAGTGCAGGTCAGATTGCCTGCATAATTAGGGTCTAGAGAAGGGTCTAGAGAACAAGTCGTGTGATGAGTGGCTGGAGTTGTTTAGTCTGGAGAAAAGGAGGCCTAGGGGAGACCTTAACCGCTCTCTAAAACTGCCTTAAAGGAGGTTGTAGCCAGGTGGGTCGAGGTCTTCTCCCAAGAAACAAGTGATAGGACAAGAGGGAGTAGCCTCAAGTTGTGCCAGGGGAGATTAAGATACTAGAATTAGAAATACTGGATATTAGGAATATTGGCTATTATGAAAAATTTCTTCACTGAAGAAGTTGTCCAGCATTGGAACAAGTTGTGACAGGAAGTGAAGGAATTGCCAAATCTGGAGGTATTTAAAAGATATGTAGACATGGCATTTAGGGACATGGTATGGTGGTAGACCTGGCAGTGTCTACCATTTGGTTGGACTCAATGATTTTAAAGGTTTTTTCCAACCTAAATGATTCTGTGAATCACTGATTAAAGACCAGTAAAGCTCACTGATTCTGGCATTCCTGACTAGAATAACAAAATCAGTAGAATGCTTACTCTTGAAGAACTAAGGAATGAGAATATAATACATGCAAATGAGCATGGTTTTGCTATCAAATTATGTCAAACAATTGTGGTTTCATTTGCTGACCACAATAAGCTTACTTGCTGAAAATAACATGCTTAGGTCTTTGTAGAACATTGTGACTTCTCAGATGGAAGTTACTTGGCCTTATGAGAGGGAAAAATGGATGTTTCATGTCTGAAGTCAAACTTATCTTCCAAGGTCTTTTCTATTCTCACTTTTTAACTTGTATCTTTCTTCCTCTGTGGATGCAAATTGCCATAGACTGAACTTATCTCGTTAATGTGGGCAAATACCTGAAGGGAGGGTGCATGGAAGATGGAGCCAGACTCTTTTCAGTGGTGCCCAGTGACCAGATCAGATGCAATGGGCACAGACTGAAGCACATGTTGTTCCCTCTAAACACCAGGAAATACTTTTTTTAATGTGAGGGTGACTGCGAACTGGCACAGAGTTGATTGTGGGATCTTCCTCCTTGGAGATATTAAAATACCATCTGGACATGGTCCTTCCTGGTCTACTGACTCCAGGTGGACCTTGTAGAAGCCTAGAAGATAAGGGGGCCAATGTGTATATCTCAAACACCAATAGCCAGATAGCTGTGGAGCCATACATAGGTTATTGGTAATAACGAACTGTGAGAAAGAACAGGATGTGGTTGGAGAAGGGGGCCATACAGAGGTGGAGCAGCACTTTTCTGGAACAGATGTCCTTGTTCTAATTCCTGGAGCTAAGCAAAACACAGTACAGGTCGAGAAGTGAGCATTGACTATGAGGGGGGGATCAAGGCCACCAAAGATCCCCAAAACCCTCTAACCCACTTTCAGAAAGGTTGAGAAGGACTGTGCATGATAACTAATTTTCAAATAAAGCAAGAAACTTATCTATAAAAATGTACCCCCACAAATCCTGGGTGCACGTGCACCAGAGGACCCTTGACAACCCATCTACTGGGTTGATACTGGAGCCAGGCCTCTTTTCTCTCTTTCTTCTTTTCTTTGTCTCTCCCCTATTTTAATTCATCTGTGTCTTTCTCTTTTACCTTTTGCCCTATCCCTTTATCCAAACCCACTGTGATGTGCTTATACTAGGAGATAGGGACAAACTTATACCAATTTCTATACGAAGTGTGTAATTTACTGATAAAACTCCATAAGCTTTTGCAGACCCTCTGACTTTTGTCATTCTTTTTGACCACAAGCATCTATGAATCTTAGATGCTGCCTTCCCCTAAGGGTGGAATGCCACATACCTGCCTCACTAGGTGCCCTCCAGAGGTCCTTTCCAACCTCAGCCAGTCTGTGATTCTGTAGCATTATACAAAGATGCAGGTCTGAAGACTCAACACTAGGTTGTAATTGTTTGCATGTCAGGTATCTGTTGCTCTATGGGTAATAAAATTTAGACAATTCAAATTTACGTAAAACTCTGTAAAGGTCTTAATGTGCAACATGCAGTTTTATTTCTGTTTTTAAGTTCACCTGAAGTGCCAACAGGCTGTATGTGATACTAGTGTTGTACTTTAATGCCTCTGAAGTCTCAGATTGTTACCAGGATTCAGTGTGCTCAGCAGGACGACAGACAGGTAAGTTCTTTGAGTATAAGAGAGGGAGAACATAAAAGAGGGTCTTTTGGGGGACAGGCTGAAGTGAAAACAGAGAATGGAGCTCAACTGAGAAAGAGGCCAGGCTTCCAAACTAAAACATACAGGGTAAAGATGAGTGCTGGTTCAGAGGCTTACTTTGGAAGCTGTTTATGGAGACCTCAAAAATAGTATTAAGAAGTCCATGTATGTACTTCTTGAGTTAGAATTTGTCTCCTGTTTTGGAGACGTATGTGGTCAATTAGGAAATATAATTTTTTTCAATATCTTTGTTTTTGGTTGCCAAACCTGAGGCTTAGAGAAACAGATGCTTTTCATATATTTTCCAGTGTCATTTACTTCTGTTGAAGAAGTTGAAGGAGGCAGTTACTGTATTTAAAATGTAGCTATAAGGCAAGTTTTCCTCTCTAAATACTCTCTAAGTACTCTAAGCGTGAAAGCAGTGTGCCCTTGTGTTTCTTCTTCAGTCTCTGCCATTGGAAATAGTAGTACTACGTCAATGGGATGCAAAATGATTTCCAAAAGGTACTGAGCAGTGTCACCATCCCTTGACTGTTTTTTTTTAAGCAGTAAGTCCAGGTACCATTCACTGTTCTAAGCTGCACCGGTGGCTGATACAGGACAAAACAACATCTGGTTTAGCTTACATCAAAAATAATAAGAGCTAAGAAGCATGATTGGTCAAGAAAAGGATGAAGGAATTGAAATAGTTTGGTTTAAAAGCCAAAAGGGAGACCTAAGTTTTAAAACACACAGAGTTTTGCAAAAAAGTTGAAGGAAAAACTTCCTTGAGTTGTCTTTGAAGAGGTCAAAACTGGAAGTCTTAAATTGCAACATGGGAAACATGGTCTTTAGATGTTAGAAAGAAAAATCTTTTTAATGCTTTAGTTAGTGAAACACTTGAATTTTGGCATCTTGTGGGGTGCCAGTTGAAAGGCCTAAAGCAAGTATTTCTTTAGGACTGTGGAAACAGTTTTTCCTAACGTGTGCAGGCAGAGGGCAATTTTGCAACATACGTTTATTTCTGTGATGCTAAGACATAAGTGTAATATATCATCCCCTTTGAACTTCAGGAAGGTTGCCCAGATTGCTATTCAAATGTTACTTTACATTTTAAAAAATGTGACAGGGTCAATTAATATGGTAACTCCAATTATTTAATATTGTCATGGTTTTGTCTCATTTCATCTAGAAAAATAAAAAAAAAATCCCTTTGATTCCTGGGAACCCAGCTTAGAGAAGTATATATATCCTGTAAAAGAATTTTAGCAATCTGCTTTTTTAAAAAGATTTTTAAAAGTATATTAAATATACTTAATAATAATTTTAATGCTTTTTTTCCGCATATACGCCATCTTTATTCAGAGCCTTTTCTTTCTTTCCCTTTTTAAATTTTTTATTAGCTTTACTTCTCAGCCATTGCACGGACAGTAAAAATTATCTCTGAATACAGCTACTTTGATTCTTAAGATAGCAGATGGTGTTGGAAATTAAAAGAACTTTTTAATATTTGAGTGAAATTAATTAAGTCATAATTATGTGTTGCCTTCTTCAATACTGTACTTATTTCATTAATAGCAAGTAGGCTTTTGTTGCATCCAAAAAATACCAAATGCAGTAAAAAAATATTTCCAAGCCATAGATGATAGATGTTAAACCATATGTAATGGGAGTCCCGCTATGAAAGACCTAAGTAACTGATGTGCCAAGACTAAAATATGAAGATCAGTGTTTTTGTGTCCTCTTCTACTCCAACTCCTTAAAGATTAATATAAAGTAGTAATTTTAAGGTATGATGTAAGGGTCAAGTGCAAGTACTTGAGATTTCTGTTTGTGAAACAACAGAAATGCTGCCAAGTCTCAGGGCTGGGGCGAGATGGGAGGTGCTGAGCCACAGTCACAAAGAGGCAGTATGGTGTAAGTGACTGCTGTAGGCAGCTCTAAAGAGGCTCAAGAGTGTCCTAATGTGGGTAACCAGACTCAAATTGTTAAGAAGATGCCTTATTAGGTCTAAGTTAGACATAATGTGGCTGCTGCTTTCATGGATGTATGGAAGGGAAAAAAACAACAAAAGGATAGGTAGATATTGTCAGAATATTGGTTTAAAGTGTTGCTGTGAAGCAAGCTGTTTTGATGTTATAGCCAATTTTGGATATTATAGCCAAAGTTCTGTGATTTTTGACTAGGACAACCCTGTCATTTTTTCCACCATAGCTCCAGTGGATGGTAGACAAGCTTTTCAGAGACTGCTTGTGAACTGAATGTAGTTTCTTTAATCTGTTAGAGTTGTTACTGTGTACTCTTTTTTTTTTGTTTTACTCTTCCTCTGCTCCACTTGTTTTATGTTATTAAATTGTCAACCTCAGGAACACAGTGTACAATAAGGTTCCTCACACTTGGATTCAGTTGGTAAGCTGCATTGAGATAATTGTCTGGTTAGCAATAGATTAGCATTTTACAGTCGTGCTTATTATGTCAAGATTTACTGGCAGTTGTTACAAACATCCTGCAGATCCACTTCTGGTCTTTTTGCAGTCTGTTGGAATATTTCCCTTCTATTCTAGACCTCTGTTTTAAATAGGAGCATCTCATTGACATCCTTATAACAATGGTCCTGGTTTTATGCTGCTGTTTCTTTTCAACTAAAGCTTATTCAAGCAAGCCAAAGTTCCTCACAGGTGTTCATCTGTGTGAGGCTTAGTAGAACAGAAGTTTGCAGAAACACAGGGCAGCTCTTTAAAGCCAAGCAACTTTTGTCAGCCAGAAAGAGGTATTTGAGAATGTCCTTGGGTGACAGTAAGGAAGCCAAGTTCTTCTGGTAGGTGCATCTCTGCTTTTCTGATCCCATCAGAACCTCTGTCCTTCTGAACAGGATAGCAAAGTTCTCATCACACTTTCCAGATAGTCTTGTTCTTGATTCATCTTGCAGTCACATCTCTTTCACACACTTGTTCTTAAGTGGTTGCTAAAAATTCATGTGGCGATGTTGATGTTGCTGTATATCTTGTTAGGGGACAAAAATTGTGTGAACAATTTCCCTTGCATTTCTGTGTGTTTCACCTTGGCATGGCTGGGTGCAGATAGTAAAAAATGCTGCGCCACTAATGTGGCTGCAGGCCTTGTGCCAAGGTGAAGGAGGAGTTCTTTTGGCAAGAAAACAAGTTCTATGGTCACCTGCAGTTATCCAGTTAGTGCTGTACACCACAGTATGTTTTCCTTATGTAACCAATGTAGTGTGAACAAGAAACTAAGCGTCATGAGCACTATATAATCTGTCTTGCTCCTAATAAAGAGGACATTTTGCCTGATCATATTGATCCTGGAACACTCTGTCCGTTCCCTTCCATCAACAATATCTTTAGAAGAATCAAAGCTCTGATGCCTGCTCATGGTTTGACCATTCTTAAATGATTATGCATAGTAGCCCAGGTATTGTGCTCCCTTGTTCCCTTGTTCATATCATCCTACCATGATTTGATATTGTCTCAATTTAAGGAAACTGAAGTGTTTTGCTAAGGAGGATGAGTTATGAGGCAGACCAAACTCCTCTCTCTCGGCAATTGTAAATCCAAAATTAAGAGGCTCCAATTGAGGAACTATGGAAAAAGGAAGAAATAACAACCCTTTATTAAAGGACATATGTGTATTGGCAAGAACAGCAAAAGAACACAAAAACAACTACACAATAATCCTGTACCCAAAAGTCCCCTTCAAAAAGGAAACAGTTTGATACTTCTCTGTCCTCTAGCGCGATTCCAATCACAGTTGGCAGGAGCGCTGTTGGATCTCTGGAGGAGCAGAGCCTGCAGTTGCTCGGTGTTGGTCAGCAGGGGGTGCTGTTGGGCTCTGGTGGTCACGGCATGAGGCCCCAGATCGCAGCAGACATACCGAGGAGGGGAAGGGGAAAAGGGGAAAGAAAGGCAGTTTCTTTCCCACGAAACTCACGCTGTCTGCGGCTGGCTGTGGTCGGGACTCCCCTCTTTCCTCGACGAGCACAAACTCTCCGATGAAAACCGAGCAGGTCTGGCTGGTGACAGAGCAGATCACAGGCAAGCCGAGGCCGGAGAACAGACAGATGACCAGGTTGAGAGCAAAAACAGCCTCAGAGCTTTTTTCAACATACACTGTGCCCCCGTTAAGGCAAAAAGAGAAGTGCCTCTTTCTAAAGAGAGGAGGGGAGAAAAACACTTACCCCCCCAACACACATCCCCCAGCCTTAGAGAAAGCTATCATCCTGGAATGCAGGTCTGCCAGCATTCTTTTGTATAGTCAATTACCCCTTCCCCCTCCTCGTTCAACATCTTCTTTTACAGCAGGACAGGGGAAAGGAAAATTTCTGCTTGGATTTTTGGAACAAGTAAACCTATGAGAGATAAACTATCAATAATCAATGGATGACCTGAATCGTACACAACTTTTATGACAGTAGTACAGAGTTTCTCTATATTACATGAAACAACTCCAGATCATTTATTGCTCATGTGGTTTTCCTTTTATGGGAAGGGGTTTAAAGTACAGAATGGTTTTGTGACTTCCATAGCCCCACACTTTCTCCTTACTAATAGCATTGTAAAGGAGTTGCAGTAAGATTGCTGCATCCTGAACATCCTAACTGGTTTTGGTTTCATAATTGCCATTCTTTGACAATAAAGACCTCCTATGGCATCTCTACATAAGGATATAAGAATAATATGTAAAATATCCTAATTTAGAGTAGTCCTTTACTAAACAGGAAAAATGAAGAAGGAAATATTTATTTTTAACTAGTAGTGGGTACTTTAGGCCATCTGTTACTTCCAGTTGCATTATAACAATACATTATCACCGGACAGTGTTCCCATACAACCTTTTGGAAACTCTCAACTATGTATTTTCTGTATGTTGCTATTTATGCTGCAGAGAGATACCTGCAGATAGAAAAACAAACACTATGGACATCACCTAGTGACTTTAAGTTTTAGATTCTGTGTCACCTTTCAGTTAGTAGAGTCATCTTTGTATATCCAGTGCAGTCTGTATTTTTGTATTTGAGGATTATGCTGCACTTGAATTTTCTTTTTCTATATAAAATGACAATAAAAATGAAATCTGAATTTGTGGAATGTTTTTCTTTAATTGGAAGATGAGAATTTTCTGTAAATGTCTGGCTATTGGAGAGGCTATGACTCACATTGCTTTACAGAGAATTTTGAGTCAATTATGTAAAACACAGTGTTGTCAAATGCATTATAATTATATGATCTTATAACTGTTGGGGTCGGTTTCATTTAGCTACAGATGCTTGTATGCTTAACTGTTATTGCCAAGAGATGAATAAGACTATTTTAAGTCCTGAACCTGTTTTCCTTAAAAAGCATATGTGTATGTGCCAATGCAAAGTAGCATAATAATGTTTTCATAATGTTGGATTATTTTATGTGAATTTATGCTTTTCCTGTGATACCATAGATTCTTAGTTAAGTCAATAAAGGTACAGTACTTTAAGTTCTGTGTTTTCACTAATATTCTTATTTGGCTTTTTGAATAAATCTTGAGGTTATAGAATAAAAAATTACTTCCTGAAGTGAGTGTAATGTTTTAAGAGCTATATTTTAATTGATGCTCTCATTCCTTAAAAGAAAAACGTAAAATTAAAAAAAATTAGTTGTCTTAGTTTGGAAGGCTGGCTGTTACATACTTCCAACTTCTTTTTTAGGTTTGTAGGTGGAGAGCTGAATATCTGTTACAATGCTGTAGATCGTCATGTTGAGAATGGACGAGGAGACCAAGTTGCCATTATTTATGACAGTCCTGTAACAAATACCAAAGAGAAAATAACATATAAGGAACTTTTTGAGCAGGTATGTTTCCAAATAACCTTATTATGGAAAAGGGGCAGTAAATATTGCACAGCAGGTAGGTACCAGAGAGGTAAAAATGGTCTACCTCGCTGGTTTATTCCTTTTGCTGTGCTCAGTATTGATTTATAAGCTTTACTACCTGTACCAAATTATACTGCATCCAAGAAGTTTTGATCTTCCTCTATTTCCTCTTTTTCTTCTACAGTTTAATAGTTTTTTTCTCCTGATTGGTTAAATTTTCAACTTGTCTCTATTTGATTTACTTTTTTTTCCCCTAATAGTTCTTATTTGAAAGGTAAAGCAAAGGAGTAGTCAAGTTATTTGACAGTTGCTATGATGAACAAAAACACAGTTTTGCAGAAATCAAATGTGTACCTTGGCTATTGCTGCACATAAGTGGGTGTAACCACAAATGAAATTTGACAGGGAGAAACTCTAAAAAAAGCTGTGTCACCTGCCCTGTTGTAGGCTGTCATGACGGTGCTGATGGTTGCTGGTGACCCTTCTGCCTGGAATATCTGTGGATTTCGACTTCCCTGTTGGCTGAGGTAGCTCACCCCTGCTGAGGTCATGAATACCTCGTTCTACATCAGCCCATTCAGATTTACCATGTGCCTGACCGTGGGTTGTTGCCACCCTGGGTGTTGCAGTCTGCCCCATTCAGGGTTCTCTGCTCTCACAGCTGTCAGCTGGTGGTTTGCCCTCCTGCTGCTCCTCTGTTTTAGCTGACTTCTTCCTTCCAATTACATGTAGCAGTTGAACTTAACACTGAGTACAAAGAAATGTTCTAGTTAGACTCATATTCATCCTTAATGTGTTTCAATGTGCAAGAAACATTGCGGTGAACGGAACACACTCAGTTTACTTCAGATATACATATAGTGTCTGAGTAATATGAACTTAGGGTTTAAAATGTGAAATGAGGTTCGTAATGCAGTAATTCATGTTGTGAGGGTTTTATTCCACTGTTGTAAGAAAAAGGAAGTCATACAGCTACAAAAAAATGATAAACCTGTTACGCATTCTGCCTTTTAAGGAAAATATAGAAAACATTTACCCTTTACTGGTTTTCTTTTGATTTATCAAGTCCAAAAAAATAACTTGGAAGGCACCATGCAGTAAGCTGGAGCTTGAACAACTAGCTACAGTGTTGTAAGAAATCAGAAGACTATAAAGGAGCCCAGCTCCTTATCTAATTCTATTTATAGCTATATATAATAAGTATAACTTTATAGATACAATTTTTGTATAAGTTGCCTTTAATAACTACAATATATACATAGTATATACCCAAATATATATGTATATATGAAATCAATGTATATATACATATAAAATACATACTTGTCTTTAATGAAGTAATACAACATTTTAATGTAAATTATCTTAAATGAACTCTGTAGAAATTTCCTCTGAAAAGAACTTGAAAAGTGGCCTTTGTTCTGCTTTTTAAGCTTGATATTGTATTAAGTCTCCTAAGTTTCTGTCTCTATATTCTCTATAAGTGTATTAAAAGTTTTAGGATATGGCAGATTTTTGCAGAATGAGAAAATTTTACGTGTTGACGTACACATCCTTTCATCCACATTTCTGTTCACAGCAGCATTGCCAAACCAAATGGAAGAACTGGTTTAAGTTTTCTGGGGTTACATAGCAGTACTCACTCTGAAGTTCATTATAATCTTGCTGGTAGCTGAGTCCTATCTAAATACTGTATTTGAGTTCTCTACAGTTTGTTTTTCTTAATCAAAAGTGAACATGGGTGAAAGGCAATATTTGAGATTAGTAGCTTGTCTGTCGAAGCTTTCTGGTCCACTCTTGTGGAATAAATTTAATTATGTTTACCTGCTAACTGCTGGACACCTGATAACAAAGGTAACAAAGAGATCTGCTGAAAATGGGAGGGATGTAGGCTGGTATATTTTTTTTGTTTGTTTTGTAGCTGCTAGGAGAGACTTTGAGAAAAGGCCTACCAAAACCACTGTACAGCGTGGGTATTGATGTTTGGCTCACAGCCCTCAGTCATTACTTGTCACCATGTTCTCAGTCTGCTCAGTGTAACGTAAAAATACTGTATTTTATCATTCTGAAATAGACTTCATGCTGAAATAGATCAGTATGAGTGCAGATCAGATATATGACTAAAGCTGATGAACCTCCTGATGGGAAAGGAAACCTTTTGCCTTTTTTCCTGAGTTCCTTCCCAATTTAAACCAGCCTGAAAGTGTGTATCTGTATTCATGCCATTGTTTGGACTGTTCACATCCAATGAATGTTTAGTCGTCTGTCTGGCCAGTAAGCTGATAGTGTAATGAGAATGTCTTTTCAGAAAGGCTGCCTGCAAAATGTCTCTACAAGAGAGATCACTTGAAGTGGTGCAATTCTTTCTGGCTTTTGGTAATAAAAGTGGAGTTTATAGATGTTTTCAGCAGAAGTTATGTAGGATAACTGTGGGTCACAGAATGGGAAGATGCAGAGTTTTGTAGCAAGCTGGTTAATTTGTCCAGGATCAAACTTGTGGTAAGGATGAAAAAAAAATGACAGAGGTGTCTAGCTGGACTTAATAAGGCTCCTTAGAAATAACTTGGACTCTGTACTCAGCCTGTTATTTTCAAATTATCCATATCTTTTTTACTTGTAGCACTGATTTTTATATATAAGAGCTACAGTGATGCTGCAATTTTCAAGTTAAGCACCACTAAACTTTAAATAATTGAGAGAAACGTTGAAAGTCTGTTTAATGCCCAACCTGTGGGAAACTTTTTTTTCCTGACAGACCTGGAATAGAAGGATTGCAGGAAAGTTTTATAAAATTCTTATTGATGTAAATAATGGCAAGATCAATTTGTGTTGATACTGCTTTCACACTTGGAAAGTTTTGAGAATTACAGTTAGTTAAAGTGAAGTTGTACATAGCGCATGCAGTTGCATCTTCAGTGTGTTTATATGTTGTTACAGACATATAAATCTTCCAAATGCAGAGGAGGAATTTGGCAAATTTAAGACACAATGGTCTTCCAGAATGCACTGATTGGTCTTTTTTCTTTACTGATGCCTGTTACAGGCCTTCAAATGTGGATTACAGTGTTGAAGCCAGTAAAATGGAGATGTAGGTAAAAGTTTTGAATATGCCTTGGGAGATTCTCTAATTTCAGTAGTGAGATGGCAGAAAAAGGTAAGGGAGACACAAATTCCCAACTGTATGAACAAGGGCAAGTGCCGGATTCTGCACCTGGGACGAGGCAATCCTCGTTGTTAGACTGTATAGACTAGGAAATGAGACACTGGAAAGCAGTGCCGTGGAAAGGGACCTGAGGGTCCTGGTCAATGGCAAGTTGAATATGAGTCAGCAGTGCCCTGGCAGCCAGGAGGGCCAACTGTGTCCTGGAGGGCATCAGGCAAAGCATTGCCAGCCGGTCGAGGGAGGGGATTGTCCCGCTCTGCTCTGGTCTGCACTCACCTTGAATATTGTGTGCAGTTTTGGGCACTGCAATATTAAAAAGATCTTAACCTATTAGAGAGTGTCCAAAGGAGGACTCTGAAGATGATGAAGCGCCTTGAGGGGAAACTGTATGAGGAGCGGCTGAGGTCACTTGGTCTGTTCATCCTGGAGGAGTCTGAGGGGAGAGCTCATTGCAGTCTACAACTTCATTGTGAGGGGAAGAGAAGGGGCGGGGACCAATCTCTTCACTCACCTTGAATATTGTGTGCAGTTTTGGGCACTGCAATATTAAAAAGATCTTAACCTATTAGAGAGTGTCCAAAGGAGGACTCTGAAGATGATGAAGCGCCTTGAGGGGAAACTGTATGAGGAGCGGCTGAGGTCACTTGGTCTGTTCATCCTGGAGGAGTCTGAGGGGAGAGCTCATTGCAGTCTACAACTTCATTGTGAGGGGAAGAGAAGGGGCGGGGACCAATCTCTTCACTCTCATTACCCTAATAGTACCCAAGGAAATGAAGCTGAGTCAGGGGAGGTTAAGGTTGGATATCAGGAAAACGTTTTTCACCCAGAAGGTGTTTGGGCACTGGAGCAGGCTCCCCAGGCGAGTGGTCACAGCACCAAGCCTGACAGAATTCAACAGGTGTTTGGACAACACTCTCAGGCACATGGTGTGATTCTTGGGGTGTCCTGTGCAGGGCTAGGAGTTGGACTTAATTATTGTGATGGGTCCCTTACAACTCAGAATATTCTGTGATTCTATGAAATTCTGTTAGAAATATTACTGAAGCTGTGTAGTATTAAGGAAATATAAAGATACTAGAAGGAAGAAAGGGGCAATGGCTTCTCTTCTATTGAAAATAAATTTTCTGATTGTGTTGGAAGATACTACTATTTTCAAGTTAATGCAGAGGTTATTAGGTAGGTGAAAAAAGCCTTCTATTTACATCATTAGGTGTATTCTCTAAAATGCCTCACTTGCTAAAACGAAAACTCAAGAATTTGAGTTGTATTATTTGCAGCCATTGATGCTTGACAAATCATGTACACAAACCCAGTATGATTTCTCTCTGTGATTCTTTTCAATAACAATGCACAGTTAATGTGTTGCATTCAGTGCCATAATAAATAATTTCTAAGTGCAGTAATGTGACAGGGTTAGTAATACCAACCCTCTCCTGCCCAAGCCTCTGAGAGCATTGAATGTTACAGAAGCGTGGATGAGAAGGAAGGGCTTCAGATTATCAGCAATGGGCTAAGATGTAATTTCTTCTGCAGGAAGGTTTTTTTCCTAAAATTACCCACCCTAAATGTATCTTCTTCCAAAATAACTATATTAGACTACGTCAGTTTGAATTTATGTGAATGTACATGTCTTTTGCTACTCATATCTCATATCTGCTATATGACTGAGGAATCACCCGGATCATTTTGTTTTTTGTAATCTTTCTTATTCTTTTTTTTTACTCCATCTTCTTTCTTTCCCTTCTGCCTTGAAAAATGACTAATTCCTTCTTAGCTAGAAATAGAGATTTTCATTTCAGGGTAATTTTTCTCAGAC